CCACCAAACTCCCCCTCCTATGTGTACATGTTCTTTGTAAACTAACCTCAACCCCTTTCTCTTTGGGGAGGTTTTCGTGGTTCTCCACCTCTAACTTCTCACTTTTTCTCTTTCCCTTCTTGGCCTAATTTTTCTTCTTCAACTCTCTTTGTACCATCTCATTTGCCACCTATCTTACCTTCTTTCTCTTTCTCCTTTTTTTCCCTTTTCATTTCTCATATTTTCTAATTGATCCATCACCTCTCTAGACCTTTCTTCTTCATTCAAACTATATTGTTTTTGCATGGTTGCTTTTTTAGTTATAACATGTTTATTATACCTACAATGCTTCAACAAAGATAATGATGGCCAATGCAGCAGCAAGTTGAGAAGAATTAACAGCTTTTATATAAAAAGGTATTTTACTCAATCCCTTCCACATTTTCAAATTTGGTTTTTCTTTTGTACATTTCAATCCCAAAACAGAAACAAGAAAAATGATTCAATCTTTGCATTATGCAAATTTGGTTCTGTATATTGAAAAGTGTAAATGTCAAATTTTTATTTATTGTGTACAATTTGTTTGTATTTTTTGTTAGGCAAAGGAATTGGTTCTTCACATTTGTGTGGTGCTTCTATCTGTGTTCTGTTTCATATCTGAGCAGAGGGTTATTGTTGCCTTGGAGTTTTGCTCACTCTTCTATGGGAACCAAAATGAAGGGGATCTACAAATATATCTCTAATATTTTTGGTAATTGCCTTTTTTTCTTTAGCCCCATATATTTCTATGGTTTTTTTTTCCCTTTCATTTTGAGTTAATATTTTGACTGGGGGTAAAATTGGGTTCTGATTACAGTTGTGAAGGAGAGGGAGATAGAGATAGGATATCCAACTGATGTAAAGCATGTGGCACATATTGGTTGGGATGGACAATCAGGCAATGCCCCCAGTTGGGTATGTCTTAATTTCTTCATCATTCTTTGGTCCACATTTTGTTTGAAATGCTTTCTTCTTTTTCTCATGACTAATATTTTGTTGTTTGTTTTGGTTATTTTTGGAACTTTATAGATGACTGAATTCAAGACTGGGCCTGATTTTGCAGCAACTTCTATTGGTAATTCTGGTTCTGCACATTCTCCATGGGCATCTCAAGGTTAATATTTTTTTGCTTCTAAAAATCCCTCCCTTTCCCTCTTGTGTGCTCCTTTCACTACCAAACATCTATGTGACAATCCAAGAATAATGACCAAAAGATATGTTACGACCTATGTTGCACGGACTCTTCAAAATAGTTGCCGCACCCGTGTCAGAAACTCAAAAATGCACTACCTTTGGAAGATCTGGCACACACCCATTGACATTTTTGGAGAGTTGTAACATAGGTTACAACACTATATGATTTTTTAATCTATTGAGTAGTTGGAATCATTTTGAAATAATCAGAAAGAAAGAACAAAAATAAAACAAGTGAAGTGTCTGATATGTTGCTTTAAAACATGTGCAGTGTCCATAATCAGACAATGGCAGTAGGGTTTTGTCACGGGTTGAGTTGTAATTGAAATATGATAAGCTTGTCCTATGTTTTGTACTAATGTGTAGAGAAATCTATTAAAAAGGACAGGGCAGTTCTTTCATTTTGTTTTTATTTTTTAATTTTAAATGGTCTGTATTTCATAGGGGAATGTAAATTTATAGTATGTTTTAAATGTGTAAGATTGCAACTGACATAATTTCAAGTGTCATTTGAAATGAATTAATCTAAAATAAGGATTGAAATGAAATGATAATTTAGTTTGCATTTCAAATCCAGTTTCTATTAGGTAAATCTAAGTAGGTGCAAAAACTTTAAGTTACACAGGGCCAAATCCCTCCATCCAAAGGGACCCTAAAAGATTCTTTGCCTCAAGCCAGGGAAAGCTTTGGTCTTTTTTAACTTGGCACCAGAAAGGGACAGTTTTTATGTGCTTTTTTAGAATAATGTTAGCTGTTAGCTACCAAGTTACACCCTAATTTAGTAATTTCATAACATCTTGATACCAAACAATCCTCTGTGAAAAGGTTAGAAAAGAATATATATATCTTTGTAAATTATTCTTTGAGTCAGAATCATGGAACAGAGAAATCTTTCAATTGACTAAACAAGCATTTCACCCCAATTAAGCTTTCATCTTAGTTCTCATTGAAGCTAAGCAAATCCAAGTTTCATTAAAAAGTCTGTGTTTTTTTTCTCTTGGAGCAAGAAAGCAAGCAACTAGTTCTTCTAATATTTACGGCGCACTCCTTTGACTTACCATTATCACTTATTTTGACATGAGACATTCAGTGTGATAGGGAAGTGCAAGTTTCTTGATATATCTTGAAACAACTTTGACGCGAAAAATTTTCTATTTCAAACACTGACGTGCGGTCTGTTTATAGATCATTCAAGTTGGTTGTGTCGCTCTTTGTTTATATCTTTGAGTGAGAACTCTTATAATAAATGCCAAAAATGAGAAACGTATTACTTGAAGTGCCCCCCGTAAATGAACGTTTAACATATCATGTGATGGACTGATTTCTAATGCCAACTTCTGGATGTATTGATATGAGTTAATTCACGAAATTTTGTTATAGTAGATGTACCAATCCTGATTTTTGGTAGAAACTTAGGTGTTGTTTCTTGTGTGAAATTTATGCTTTTTTCCGCATCTTCTTGACAGATTACACAGAGTCAATGAGACAGCAACCAGCATCTGAGCTTTACAGGGACGTAGCACCTCCTAAGAAACAGAAGCGGAGGAAGGCCAAGTCAACATCCTCTCCCAGGTCAGGTTCATCATCCTCATCAAGGTCATCACGAGTGGAGAAATCCAAGGCTAAATTCGTCGAAGGCAATGCTAAACCAGTGAACATAGAAGTGGCTTAATTTTACAAACTTGTAGCTCAAAATTGCAGAGAAAATTCTGTCATTGCCTAGCTATTGAAGTTGTTTATAGTCCTCATGAAAGGATTGAAGAGAAAGGCGAGGAGGGTATAGAAACTTGCGTAGATGTAGAGATTGTCACACTGAAAATGTTATTAAGAATTACGGAAGAAAACTAAAAAGTAGGAGGGCATAGAGATGTGAAACAGAAGGTGAAAAATCTAACTCCTAAAACCAGGATAATGTTTTGGGAGAATTATAAATTCTTTTTCCTCTTTTTTTTTTCAATTTATTTTTCTACTAGTTTTATCTTTCCTCTTCTTGGAACTAAGACGAGGAAGGATCGTGTAAAGAGTTGAATCATTTAGCCTGTTGGTTGAAGATTGTGCTAATGCTAATTATTTGATTTGAACAAACTCCAGGGATTCTTTCATACTCTTGGTGATGGATAAGCTATTGTTTGGACCTCAATGTCTCTAATAGAATGTTGCAGGCTTCCTTATAAATCAAAAAGAAAAAGAAAAAAAAAGAATGTTGTAGGATTATATAATCTGAAAATTTTGGATTTGATCACATATACTATTAGTACCAACTGAATGAAGCAGCTAATATACTGCAGATTGAAGTCCTTCAATTTGTATAACTACTAAATAAGTTTCACATACCTTTGATGAGTAGAGTGGAGAATTGGACATTTTATTTTGTAACCTAAAGGAGTTACCCAAAGGAGTTCATGCCCCTTTGCATAAAATCATCTAACAACAATATACTTAGTGCGTACAGAGTGCTCGGCACAGGCTGTAGCGGTTGCGGGTTTTCCTGAGTTTCCAAAAAAAAAATATGGCCTGCCCCTGATTCTCCTTTTATTATCACCTAATAGGAAGTGACTTTTTTTCCGTAAATCTTTCATTTTTGTTTATTTTTCGCTCTAGTTTTTTTAAGAATCCAACTGGAAAAGGGTAAGAGAAACATAATTTCGACACTTATTCAATATCATTATCTCATGACGAAGTCAATTCTTAATATGATTTAGGCCTAATTCCAACAACAAAGAAGTTAAAACTCGTACCTTTCACTGTCAGCAGATCTGATTAGTTTTAGACAATTAAAAAAATCAAGGATGGAGGAAAAAAAACAGAAACGAAATTAAGGGCTGTATATTTTATGTAAGAATCAATACTGCTAAGTGATATAAGGGAAAAATAGTCAAGTTATTTATAACCAAAATACAAAAAAAAAAAAAAAAAAAAAAAAAAAAAAAAAAAAAAAAAAAAAAAAAAAAAAAAAAAAAAAAAAAAAAAAAAAAAAAAAAATCAGAAAGTAAAAGGATTGAATAACCGTTGGTAGTTTGGTCCCGCCATTTCAGTCGTAGCTTACATGGAGGAAAAACTTTCATCTGACTAAGTCTTCACTTAATTCAAGATTATCATCCCAAATGTCTCTTTCTCCTCTCTTTTTCCCCCTTTTTTTCTCCTTGTTTCCCAAATCTTGAAATCTGATTGACACTTTTGAAAGTTGGAAAAACAGAATGAAGATGGTCTCAAAAACCACAATCTTTTACATAATCTTGTTTTCTGTCACTATTAAGGCACAAGATTATGATGGTAATTCACCACCTGCACCTCCCCCTGCAGAAAATGAATGCAATGGAATTTTCTTATCCTATGTATTCATCTCTAGAACCAAAGAGCTTCCCCACTTAAAGAATGCAAGTGCACAAGCCTGGGCCTTTAAAGCTATGGCAACAGTACTTAATGCTGGTATATATGAGCTCAAGAACTGGAAAATCTTCATCGGGTTTCAAAATCGCGAACTTTTAGTCTCAGCTAGTAATGCTGTGTTAGTAAATGGTGATGATTTCCCAGCTCCTGTTGGTAATGGAACTTACTTAGCTGGCTATCCTCAGACAGATTTGAAAACGTCGATTGATACTGCTGGTGATTATACACAAATTCAAGCCGAGATTGAGTTAACAGGTACTCAGTTTGGAATCAGGCCACCGGGTTATCCCATGCCTAAAACTATTAAGCTTGTCAATGATGGATACAAATGTCCAGCAGCAATTCGAAAATGTAAGTACGAAATTAGCTATGTGAATGAACATTTTTGTTTGTTTGAATTTTGAATCTTCAATTTTGTTTGTTGTGTGACAGCAACGACACTGCACGTTTGCTGTGTGAAAGATCCAAAATTTAAGGCGAAGAATTTCACAACCAAGTATTTCCCACGCCAAAATGGTGATCTTTTGATCTCTTATGATGTTATGCAAGCCTATCCGAATAACTATCAAGCGCAAGTGACTATACAAAATAATAATCCTTTGGGACGCCTTGATCAGTGGAACTTAACTTGGGAATGGATGCGAGGAGAATTCATCTACTCAATGAGGGGTGCATATACTCGCAAAAAGGACTACTCGGATTGTGTCTATGGTGCTGCAGGACAGTACTATCAAGATTTTGATTTTTCTAAAGTACTGAACTGTGAAAAGAAGCCAACTATAGCTGATTTGCCTCCGGATAGAGCTCAAGATAAAGATGTTGGGATGTTACCATTCTGCTGCAGAAATGGTAGCATCATGCCGAGTGTAATGAATGAAAGCAATTCAAAGTCTGTGTTTCAGTTACAGGTATATAAGCTTCCACCAGATTTGAATCTAACAGCTCTTTACCCTCCTGAGAAATGGAAAATCAACGGTGTTCTTAATCCGGATTATAAATGTGGACAAGCCTTAAGAGTAGACGAGACACAATTCTCGGATCCAAGTGGACTTCAAGCTACTGTCACAGCTATTGCAAGTTGGCAAGTAGTCTGCAATATTACCAAGCCAAAGGAAAGAGCCAACCGGTGCTGTGTTTCGTACACTGCCTATTACAATGACTCTGTTATACCCTGCGGCACTTGTGCATGTGGCTGTGATAGTTCTGTTAAATGCAATCAAAAAGCACCAGCACTTCTTCTTCCCCCAGAAACACTGCTGGTTCCATTCGCAAACAGAACAGAGAAATCCGTGTATTGGGCTAAACTAAAGAACTATCATGTTCCTAGGCCTTTACCTTGTGGTGACAACTGCGGAGTTAGCATAAATTGGCATGTTGATTCAAACTATAAAACAGGATGGACTGCTCGGATTACTATATTCAATTGGGAAGAAATCAATTTCGTGGACTGGTTCGTTGGAGTCCAGTTCAAGAAAACTGGTTCTGGCTTTGCGCAAGCTTACTCTTTCAATGGAACTTTACTTCGAAATATGAATGACACAGTTTTCTTGACAGGATTACCTGGTTTAAATTACTTGATAGCAGAAACAGATGGACAAAAACCTGGAGACCCTAGAGTACCTGGAAAACAACAATCCGTCCTTAAATTTGAGAAGAAACGTTTAGGAGTTATTGATATAGTAAATGGGGATGGATTTCCAACTAAGTTGCTATTCAATGGGGAAGAATGTGCACTTCCCACTCATCTCTTGACAGCGGATGGAAGAAAACGGCGTGTAAATTCTTGGCTAATCGCCATCATAACGTTGTTAACCTTCTTGCTGATTCTAAAAGACCTGCAATGATTGAAAGCTGATCATGGTTTTGGCTGTACATTTCAAGGAAATGGAAGGAGATTCTCAAGTGAAACTTAGAACTGACAGTCTATCTTTGGAAATTTTCCGTTTCTAACCTCACATTAGTATACCACCATATTCAAATATGATAAATGGATTGATATTCTCAGTGTTAAGAACACTAGAGTCACGAATTGCAGAGTGATTCTTGAGGCTGCTGGAAATTAATGCAAATTGAAGGACTGCTAAGGGAAAATGAAGAAAGAACTGAGTTGCTTCATCCAAGAGCATGATCTAATTTGTGTCAAATTTGAAGATCATAAGCAGGCCAAGTTGTATTGGTACCCTTATATTTGTTCCTTCCTAGTCTCAATTGTGTTCAGTGCTTGGATTTTAAGGATCAAAGCTTCTCCTAAAAGAGAGTTTTCAGTTTGTAAGCTAAGCTCCATCTATCATATGCCTTTTTCCAGATTGTGTGAGCAAGATTTTCTTATTTCATGGCAAAGGTAAACTTTTTTTTGAAAAGGAAGTTTGTAATATAAAATGTAAGTAACGTTTCTCTTAACCAAAATAGCAACAAACAAACAAAAAAAAGGAGACAAACAAAATTGTACTTCATCAGTTAACTTATGTAGTTGATGCTAATGGGCTAATTCAATTAAGAAGAGGTTTTTTTCACTTTTAGCACGCGCCAGAAATTATTTACATTTGGTCGCTCATGTACAGAAGATGAAGGTAGCAGAGATGAGGATGTTGAGATGGGTGTGGGGTACACCAGGTTAGATAGGATCAGAAATGAGGTTATTCGCGACAAGGTGGGTGTGGTCCCTATTGAGGACAAGATGCGGGAAACGCGGCTTAGGTGGTTTGGTCACGTGAGGAGGAGGAGCACAGACGCCCCGGTGAGGAGGTGTGAGAGGAGTAAAGGTAGGCCTAAGAAGAGGTGGGGAGAGGTGATTAGGCAAGACATGGCGCAACTTCAGCTAACCGAGGACATGACCCTTGATAGGAAGGTATGAAGGTCGAGGATTAGGGTAGTAAAGTAGGTAGTCTAGAGTGTTCATAACAGTAGTATTGGCACACAGTCTTGCTTTCTGTTGGTAATAGGTTTTTATGACTAACCGTTGTTTTCTTTCATTGTTGATCACCTTATTATCTTGTTGTTTTTATTCTGCTTTTGTATGGATTTTTGGTACTATCCTTCTTATCTATATTTTCATTAATTTGGTGCTTATGCTTTCTTGAGCGGAGGATCTATTAGAAACAACCTCTCTATCCTCACAATGTAGGGATAAGGTCTGCGTACACACTACCCTCCTCAGACCCCATGGTATGGGATAATACTGGGTATATTGTTGTTGTTAGAAGCCGAAAAAGTGTATAATTTTTGTATATAACGTACAGAATGCATATATACAAAAAAAAATATACAAACAATATACATTGTTTGGCTATTATTCTGAGAGCGGCTACACGGTGTAATTTTTCCATTAAGAAGACTAAAGTCCAAAAACACAGTTTGGGCTTATTCTCTGGCCGGTCCAGGCTCGCATTAGACACAATCCGATGGGAGTGGAGTGAAATTTAAAAATAGCCAGATTTACAAGTGGTAATTGAAAAATAGCCACAGTTTCAAAAGTAATCGAATTTTAGCCACTTTTTATGTAAAGATAAATCTAAACGAAAACATTGTTCAAAATCCGAAAATAATTCCAGCACAATATACTAGAGTTCGAATTTTTTACATGTGAACTTCCAGCATAATATACTAGAGTTCGAATTTTTTACATGTGAACTTCCAGCATAATATACTAGAGTTCCAGCATAATATACTGGTCCATCATAATATACTAGAAACAT